GAGATGGATCCTTGGTATTAAAAAAAAAAAAAATCCAAGTTGAATTTTGTTTTTTGGGGGTTGGTAGTACGTTTGACAAAACTTTTCTAAAAAATGTATGAAAAATACATTTCCAAATACTGTACACTTTGCAAAAAGACGAACAGTGATAAATAACTTGCCACAGAGGAGAAATTTTTTTTTCATTTGGAGAGATGAAGACACTCAAATACAAATGTCAAGGCTATAATTAGTCTTACACAATAAATGAGTGCTTTACTTATTTTAGCTCCAGTACATTTGTTCAAGTATCTAAAACTAACATAAAATAGCATTTTTAACCTTAAAATAGAATTTACAACACCTTGGCCTAACTTCACAAATCTATTTTTAAGAGAACAGAGAGGATTTCAAACTCCTTTCTTTCACACAATCAGTATTTCTGAGTCTATAGGAGAGAAAGCATATTGCAAAACAAAGAAATGCTGGGTGAATAAGGGGAGAAAAAGTGTTTAAAAGGCTCAGATTAGTTCTGTGCTGTAGTCTAGGTTTACAGGTTGTGAAATTGGACAACTTATTACTGGAAGGAAAAAGCAACTGTAAAAAAAAGTCTACCTGCCAGGCATTTGGCTCAGTGGTGCCCATGCCTGCCTCACAAGCAAAAGGTCCCGAGTTCGATCTCTGAAAGCCCCACCCCCACCCCCTGCCTGCCAAAAAAGTCTACCTAAAAATCCTTATAGAAATTGTTTGAAGAAACCTTGGAAGGGGAAGGAAGTTTTTTAAAAAGCCATTTTCAAATGCAGAAATGGTAATACTGAGCACTAAGTTTGAAAGGGTAAAGTAGAAAAATCAGAGCAGAACATGTGGGAATCTTCATAGCAGGTAAGAGAAAGGCATTAAGTAAGACAATCCCAGGGAATATGTTAAGTTTACAATAATACTCAGCAGGCAGCAATCACCAGTTAATGTGTGCTAATTGACTACTATAGCTAATTGCCTGGCACAAAATTAAATCATTTAATCCTTATAATACTAAGAAAGATATTGTTTTTAAAATTTCTATTCTAAACTAAGGACCCTGGGGCACAGAAAGATTATCCTATGTGTATAAAATTACATTGCTAAAAGTGGAAGAACTATGCACTGAATCAGTAGGCTATATTGACAAAGTGGTGTTCATTCTATTAGGTAAACATAAACACTTTAAGGGTGGTACCACAGGACCCACAGATAATTATCTTAAAAGGTCATGTAGTAAGAGTGGAGGCATGATCTACAGCAAAATAATTCAGGAATTAGCAAACAAATAATTCAAGGATATGAAATACATTAAGCAACTAGATCTTTAAAAATACTATATTCTATAAAATTAGGAAGGGTCTTAGAATTTACTCCCTTAAGAAGAGAATTCCAAATGACTTGAAAATTAGTAGAACAAATATTTAATTGCACCTTTTATGGCACAAGAGAAAGCGGAAATGCCCCAAGGAGGAAGAGTATTAGCAATGGAATAGAAAGAACTATTATATGACACATATTATGTGTGAGGAACTATGTATTTCCTTTACACTATCTCACTGAAGCCTCATAACACAGCATTATTATCTCTATTTTTTAAAAAAATGAAGATTAAAGTTTAAGAAGATTAGCTACCTAAGATCAAGCTGCATCAGTGAAATTTTGGTAAATATTAGAAAAACTTTAGAGCACACAAAAAGAAGTTAGAAAAATGAGTATTTGGTAAGATAAAATTTAATACCACAGAATGCAATGCAAAATTTTGTTATCTCATTAATTATTCAAAAGGCCACACTGACTTCCAACGTCATTAACAGATGGGAACAGAAACTATGGAAATGTGGTAAAGTTGCCTACACTGACTGGGACACATGGCATCTACATTCCCTCCCTTTTCTCTCTATACATGTAGTCAAAGAAGCATTCAAAAGGATTGACTGTCAAATCTCAACAATGGGAATAGACAGGTAAAAAATCAGATGTGACCATTCACTTAACTATTACAAACACAAACTATATGCTAAGTAAAAGTAATGCCAATTTTATCTACTGAATACTGGAAAGGCATGATCAAAACAGAATTACTCTAGAGCTATTATTTTTTGTCTTTTAATAATAAGAAACAAGAAAGGACAACTTGACTGGAATTTTATCACACCTTATTGGCAGGAAGGTAAGAAGGGAAAGTTCTGATAAAAAAAATGTTATTAAGGGTAAAAAGCAATATAGAATGGACTCTCAAGTTATGACCAGCCTGATTTATGAACAACTTGGATTAATTAGGTTAATGGAAGATTCATCTGCCTCTTGTTATCTATAGCATGTACCCAGGTAAACATCCAGATCTCAACTGTACTGACTTACAACCAACTTGAGTTACAACCAGACCATGGGAACAATCGAGTTTGTAAGTCAAGGGTACACTGTAGAAAAGGGTATTTTGATTATATAGTTGGGCATGTATCAGAAAAATCAATAGGTTATCATCTTCCCTACCTGTATTCAAGTATACAAACTACAGGGCTAGGCTTAAAAAGACAGTACAAGGATTCCAGAGATAGGGCAAATGGAGGGAATCAGGGTTTTTCTCCTGAGGCTTTGTGTGCACTATAAAGGAATAGAACTGGGGCACAGAATGTTTAGACATACTATCACTTCACAGGAAAAAGATGAAGGAAATGCTATCCAACCCAGATCAAAAGGAGAAAAAAGCAAACAATTCAGAGTAGAACTTTTGTCCAGAAATAAAGATTGTGCATATGGCCCACATTTTCGTAGGCTATAGGAGCCTGATCATAAGACTGGTATGTAAAAGGGACACAAAAACTTGGAAATTACTTGATGCTGTGAGGAAAGCACGGCGCTAGGACTTACAACCTTATCAAAGATGTGATGATGGGCAGACCAGCCTGCTAACATTTATAAGGTTCAACTACTGAACATGTAAAATGGAAAATACCTGCCCTACCTATAAGCATCAATATAGGCAAAACTTTTATAGCTAAAATAAAAGAATATGGGGAACAGAAAAAAATGGGAATTATGATTCTGATCACAAAGAAAGGATCTGGAACCTATCTACAAAATAAATGAAATTAAATATGGACATAATTTTAGAAAACTGTAACAATCAAGTTACATCTTGACTATAAATGAATAATTGTCCTAAGAAACAGAATTTTAATGCCAGAAGGAAAAGTAGATTAGTCGAAGGTATAAATTCAATCTTCAAAAGAACCCTGTTAAGAAAGTAGAACACATAAATAGCTGCCCTTGTTAAAATACTGCTTGCTTTGTCTTTCCCCAGCATGGTTCCAGGAAATTTCTACAGTTCTTTTATGGAACAACTTTAAAACCACATATTGAGTGTTACCTTTAATTTCTAAGAATAAGAAGAATAAGGGCAAGAGGTAAAGGTAGTCAAAGGCAAGCCAAAATTAAGCCTATAACCCGAGTCTCTTGATTTTGTTCAGTATTCAATTATGTCCTGTTCTTTTTCTTTTCTTCTTTTTTTTTTTTTTTTGGTACCAGGGATCGAACTCAGGACCTTGTGCTTTCGAGAGGCAGGCAGCAGAACCACTGAGCTAAATTCCTGGCCCCTTCCTCTTTTTTTTTTTTTTTTTGGTACCGGGGATTGAACTTGGGTCCTGTTTCTCTTCTTTCAAATCTTCTGGTTCAAGATAATTCAAGTCAAATCTAGTAACTGATAATATGGGTGAGATCAGAGAAGATAAAAAGAAAAGGCACCCCAAGTTCATTCTGTTCAGATTTAAATAAAAGTAACGTATCAGTTGAAAGGTGTTTACAAAACCATGGTGGGGTTAGCCACAGTCTTCCTGTAACTTCTTAACACTGTCAAGATAAAAAAAAATCAGCAAGGGGCTGCAAATAAGAATACAAAACGTATTAGACTTGAACAACTTGGTCTCATTTCGTAAACAGCCCTTAAACTAAATGTTTGGTGTATGGAAAATGGTGCCTAAACAATGACTTTAAGGTCTCAAAAGATGCTAATGATTTTCACGTTCCTTATAAGTGAATGCAAAACAAACTTCACAAGCAATTCTGTAAGAAAATCCTTAATACCTCCTCCTCAAGAAAACTAAAATCGGTGTTGTATCAGCGGAGTCTCAAAAATTCAGAATACTTAGGTCATACCCATTTTTTGGTAATAAGTATAACTCTGTAATGAACCCACATATTTTACGAATAGCTTGGACCCTTAAAGATTCTTAAAACCGTTCATAATAAACAGGTCTTTTCACGACCCGCTACCAAGTGTGAAGAAAACAAATTTCAAGTTCATCTCTAAAATGTCACCCATGGACTGCAAAGGGGTTCAACTGCAGCTCGGTGTGTTGATTCTTTTAATGGCGCGATTCTAAGAAATTTTTAAGAAGTTGGATTTGTTTTACTGCTTTTCCCGAAATCAGGTTTGCTTTGCTTCTTCTAGGAAGCCAAAAAACAGGGCAACTCAAGCAAAGGGCGAGAATTACAAGGTGAAGCTTCATGACCTCCCAACTGCAAGCAAGACCTTGGGTTTGCACTCCGGCTCTCTCGGGCAGACACTGACCTTAGGAGTTTGCGAAACGCCCACGCTCCACGGAACTTTTTCAGAAACATTCTCTGGAAACTTTGCCTTTTCCTAGCTGAATCTGAGTTACACAGGCTTCCGGAACTTGCGGGCTTTCGGAGCGACGCAGGACCCGGAAGTGGTTGGAAAATAAAAAAAAAAAGGGGGAAATTACACAAGGGAGAACTGCTAGATAGACCCAGAGTGGGCAAAGCAATACCTTAAAGAAAGCGGACGAGCCGAAGGGCCGAGGAGCCGAAGGGCCGAGAAACCGAAGGGCCGAAGAGCCGAAGGGGGCACCCCGCACCCGGTCATTGGTCGGGAAAACTTCTGATTGGCAGAAGAGTCACGAATCCTTCAGGCCCGGGCCAGGGGCCGGCCGGGCCGAGGCGATGGTGTGTGCAGACCGCGGAAAGGCCAGGGCGGTCCTCACTGCGCTATCAGCCTCCCAACGCTCTAGCGGGCCGTTGGGGAAGCGCCGCCACACGGCAGCGGTTTGCCTCCGGACCTCGAGGTCTTGTGCGCCCCGAGGAGCCCTTTTGTGGGATGACCTCATGAGGAGAGAGCCCCCGCGCCTGGCGGCTGGATCGCGGCCAGGGCCCTGTCAGGCGCTCGGACCTCTCAGGCCCAGTGTGTCCGCCTGGCGAACCTGTTAACCTCTGCATCTCCGAAAGGCTGGTACCCGTGGGCGTCCGCACTGCAAAATTGCGCCTGAGAGGCCCTGTAAATTCGGAGCAGTGCGCAGGGTCCCGGTAACACAAGCAGAATCGAGTTAGAATTTGAGAGTGGGATCCGAGGGAAGCGCGCTCAGCGGGCGGTTACATAGCCACTGTCTTCTCTTTCTGTAATGCGGCTGGCAGTGTGTGTTTGGTTGGTCATCACATTTGGATGAAATCAGGAGGACAGATTCCTGCACTTTGTAGGTTTTAAGAACGTTTTAATTCTTGTCACCCCCCCCCCCCTTCAGTCTTACAACAACTGTTAAACACTAAGAACTGGTCTTGTAGAAGCAATTTTGCAGAAATACTTTTTAAAATTTTACATTTTATATTTTATTTGAGTAATTACCCTATAGGACAGAGCTGTTACTCAAAATATGAAGTATGGGTAAGATAAAAAATTTATTATCACCTCTAATACTGTCCGAATTCGTTTTTACATTAAGGATACACAATTTGACATCACATACCTGGAATGCTGCTTTCTGTACACTCGGGAGATCTTGGGGGAAAAACGGCCTGAGGAGGAAAATGATACTTGTTGAATTGGTGAAAGTCCTTCCCACCAAGTGAACCCAAAGTACAAATGAGGTACGGTGTAGAAGCTACAAAATGATTGGGTATGTAGTGACTTAGGCCAGGAGTGATTTTCTACAGCTGCAGCTGCTGAATGTGGTCACCCTTGGCCAAGTCTGCATTGAGGTGTGCTCACAGTATAAAACAGGCACAGGGTTTTTAGGACTTGGTATAAAGGGGGAAAATTAAATACGATTAATTTTATATTGACTTGGAAATAATTTTGTAAAGTTTAAAATTACGTATGTGATTCATATTATATTATATTGTATACTGTTGTTCTAGAGAGAAAGAAATTCCCTTTGATGAGGAGGTCTTTCATGTTTTGTAGGAAGGCAGCCATACTGCCCTTCTTGGGTAGCCTACAAGTATACTGTGTTTCACTTAATTTTTATGAGGTGAGAAAAGACCCCCACCCCATAAAAAATAAAGACTAACATAGAGAACATTTTCCAAAAGCAGTTCTAGTTCATGGAATTTTATGTGGGTCACATGAACATCACAATAGTGACAATAATAACACCAAATTATCAAGAAATTTGAATTAAATAGGAAATATATATAACTTTTAAGATGTTGGTATTAAATCTTTAAAATTTGGGATTTAACCCACATATATACTTCAGTATATCTTTAATTTTGTAGTGAGCTAGTAAGCTGATGTTTCAGGGAAGCTTTGTATCCAGTATTTTTATATTTGCTTTAACAATATACTCTACATTAGTTTATCTAACAAAAACCTTCTGGGGTCAGGAGTATTACTAGGTTGTGTTAATAAAAACGTGAACCACAAGGAAGGCAGAGATGGCCTTTGCTTTCTAGAAGCTGATGAGTATCAATTCAGAAACAGTAAATACATAGACAATGACAAAAGCATAGTGTTTTGTTGTAAATGATTTACCTCTAAATTTAGTTATTTTAAACACATTAGTTGTTTTAAACCTAGAATTTATATACTCTTACAGTCATACTAAGTCTAATTAAGACTTGACTCAGGGCTTAAGAAATACTAGCAAAAAAGTCAGAAGAGAATTCATTTATTAACTATCAGAAAAAAAATTTTACATTTAAATATAAAGAAAAAATTTATAGTAACATCTTACTTATATCCTTGTTTAGTCTTTTAGTGAGTTTTATGTTTTGAGGAATTTAATAATAAAAAGTAAAGACACTGATTTATGCCTCTAACAGTTCAAAATTGGTGACTTTTAAATTTATATTAGCACATTACATTCTTCTTAAATCAATATATTTTAGTCTTTTAGAAAAGAATTAAACATAGATCCTATGTTATTTTACTATTTCTGCTGTAACAAATCATCAAGATGCGCAAAAAATACAAATTTATTATCTTACAACTGCATTGTTCAGAAACCCCACATGGATCTCTGTGTACCAAAATAAAGTTGCCCACTGACCTCCTTTTCCTTTTTGGATGATCAAGGGAACAATCTGATTTCTTGCTCATTTAGGATTTTGGCTGAATTCAGACCCTTGCTGTTGTAGGAATGAAGTATTTTTTTTCCTTGGTCTCAGCTGAGGAGTGTTTCCAGCTTCCAGAGGCCAACATTCCTTAGTTTGGGCTGATATTCTCTATCGTCTTGTTAGCAAGGATTAATTGAGACATCTTCATCCTTCTAACATCTCTTTCCTCTTCCATTATTGTTTCTCTCCAATTATAACCTTTAAAAAAATTTATCAACAGATGGAGTCAGCCTATATGCCCATCAACAGATGAATGAATAAAGAAAATGAGGTACTCATACACAGTGGAGTACTTCTCTGCCACTGAGAAAGATAAACTTGAGGTATTCATAGGAAAATGGATGCACCTTGAGTCCATAATGTTGAGTAAAGTAAATCAGACTCACAAGTTTAAATATCACATGATTTCTCTTACACGAGAAATCTAAAATATAAATAAGTTAAAGAGCAAAATAAAAGATAATAGCAAACAGGGAGGGAGATACACATTTTGCAAAAGTAAGGAGTCTAAGAGGTGGAGGGAGGGGAATGGAATGAAAAAAATAATTTAGATGTTTTAAGTACATGTACCAGCTCCTTATGAAGGATATAATCATTATATACTGCAAACATACTATTAAAAATAAAAATTAAAAGCAAATCCATTTGATTAGGTTGTATCTCCCCATGTCAAGGACTACAACTTCACTATCATCTGCAAAGTTCCTTTTATGAAAGTATGGTAACATATTCACAGGTTGTAGGCACTGGGATACTATGTAGTTGTCCTAAGACAATCTGCAGACTCCCTAAGGACACCAAGAAAGACCTTTCATACACACCAGATATCCTGTTCTGTCATTCCTGTGCCTCGTGTTTACAGTGACAGTGAATGAGGCATGTTTCTTTCTGTCCTCTTATTGTCATTATTATTACTTGCTATTACCTCTGTTGTCCCCTGGGGTAGACTGTGTTTTTATGAGGATGTGGGCAATAGCATATCCTGGCTATAAGTCTAATACTGTTCCAAAACTTAAACTCTCTCCTAATCTTTGCTAGCACTGCCTTAACTCAAACCCTCATTACCATTGTACTTCTAAGTCATCTTCTAGAAATTTGGTGGCCACCAGCCTCATTGCCCTTCAGATTCACTCTCTTGGCTGCTTTCTGGAATCATCTTTCTAAAATACAAAACTCTACTTCACTTACCTTCTTTAAACCGTTTAGTGTCCCCACTGCCAGTTCCTGCAAATATTGTACCTTTCCCTATACTTTTTGGTACCTGTTCTATAGCATCTAAGTTACTATACACTTGTTTATTTCAATAATTTCTAAAACATAAGCTCATTGTTATAGGGTCATAGAGACTGTTTTGTTTGAATGAACACATTATTTTGTCATAGTATAATTATTACATTCTGTCAGTATGTCCCTTCTCACTATAAATTCTTTAAAGAGAGACTTACTGTTTTATTCTTTTCTCTTTCCCTTAGTGCCTATTGGCACTGTAGACAGGATTATTGAATGACTGAATTGGGGAAAATAATACAGAATACATAGTTTGTTTGTTGTTGTTTAAGTCTAAAAGGTATTTAAGACAATTTATTAGAAATACATTATACACAATTTGGTTATGACTTTAGAAACAATTGGGAATTAAAAATGAAAACTGAGTCAGATGTGGTCACATATGTGTCTATAATCTTAGCACTTTGGGAGGCTGAGGCAAGATTGCAAGTTCATTCAAGCCTAGCCTGGACAATTTAAAACTTGGCGAGATGGTAGTGGCTCAAAATGAAAAAATGATAAAAGGGCTAGGGATGTAGCTCAGTGTAAAGGCCCTGAGTTCATTCCCCAATACCGTAAGACAGAAAGAAGTATGAACTCTGGAGCCAGCATACCTGGAGTGTATTCTGACTCTGCCACTTACAAGCTGTCTAGTGTTGGTTGGGCAACGTCATCAGTCCTGTGTCTGTTCTTTGTGAAGCAAGCATGGTAACTAAATGAGTAATATTTATAAAATGTTTATAACTGTCTCCCACATAGTAAATATTCTATGAGTATTTATTATAGAAAAGCACAATAATTTATATTTTCATTGCTTTTGATGAATGTTTAATGGTTGTATAATATAGCTCTTTTTAAAAAATAGCACTATAATTTGTACTTGTGTTTTAGGGTTTTTTCTCTCAATGATTTTTAATATCTTATATTACAAAATGACCTTATATATTCCTTAAATATTTAGGGAGTACTTGTGTATGATCCAGCTCATGAAACTTTTATTTTTTCTTTGTATTATTTTTCTCTTTTGCTTTTAACAAATTACCACAAATTTAGGGGCAGAAATCAACATAAATTTATTATTGATCTCTAGTTCAGAAGTCCAATGATAAGTTAACAGCAAGCTGTGTTACTTTCTGGAGACGCAACTAGAATCTGTTTCTTTGTGTTTTCTGACTTCTAGAGGCTATGTTCATTGGCTCAAATTTTACCTCTCTCCATGTTCAAAGGCAGTAATGTTGCATCTTCCTAATCATTCTGCTATCTTTATATCTCTTTTCATGACTACAGCCCAGAAGTTTTCTGCTTTTAAGAATTCTTGTGATAAGATTGGGCCCACTTTCTAAGTCAGTCTTTACATTTCAAGTTTTTTATTTACTTCATTACCAATTGTCTCCTTTGCTGTGTAATTTATTCTGAAGGTTGGAGAATAGACACCTTTGGGAACACACTATTCTGCCCACCACACTCTTGACACTGTATCGATCACTGCTGAAAAGTATATGAGTTGTATCTTCTGAAAATAAAGATAGTATTACCCAAGGTGCAAAAAAAAGTGTCAGTATCATCAATTCCTTGGTGGTTGGTGAAAACCCCATCTACTTAGCAGAGTGCTAAGTACTTAAGAGCTCACTGACTACTGTCCTTGTCTACAAGATTTTTATTGTAGTAAAGAAAGGAAAAGAAACCCATACTTATTGACACTCTGTTATGGGCTAGATTATTACAACAAGTATAGGAAACAGAAACTATTATATCCATTTTATAATGATGAACTTAGAGCTAAGAAAGGTTAAAAGACAAGCTTAAGGTCCATAGTTAGTCAAAAGATTGGTGGGATTTGTACCCAGATTGTATGATTCTTGAACTCTTAAGCACTATAAAACACTGCTTCCTAATTGTCCTATATGGGACAAAGTGGTGGAGTAGAAAGAGGAGGCCTATAAGGCTTTAAGATTATTTCTGACCAAGCTAATAAACACCGGGCTCTAGAAAATCACCTTACCTGGCTCTGGAAGGCTGAGTAGAATTTAGGCTTATAGCTATTAAAGAGCAAAGCAGCTGAGCAAAATGGGAGAAACAAAATATATAAGGGAAAGCATCATTACAAGCAGTTTAGAGCTAGGCAGAATGAAAAAAAAAAAGAAGATAAATTCAAAAAGGTACTTTAAGGCCTAATATAGTTATGTAAAAATATAATGTATTTCTGATACAAATTGAAAACTCAAATTCTTGAGTTTTTTGCTCAATAGTTAAAATCAATTCTA